CACCGGCGGAGCGAGGGCGGAGCAGCACCGGCCGAGCGGGCAGGGACTGCCCGGGTCACCCGCACCCCCGCCCGGAGCCTGGGGAGGGGGGAGCGGGGAGGAGTCGCCGTGCCAGGACGGGATGATGCACCCCAATTACATCGAGAGAGAGCAAAGGGTGCTCATAAATGATTGTATGTGTTTCAGAGCTCTTAGAGGTTTCAAAATAATCGGGATTTTGTGTGAATGTCCGGCAGAGTTTTTTCCATGCTGTATATGAAGACCTGTTGTGGTCTGGTCTCTCTGTTGGTCGTTATACTATGTGCACTTGAGGACCAAGAGTTGTCTCTGAGCAGCAGATACCACTGACAGTTCTCATTGCATGCATGAAGGTATTTTCCAACCTAAATTACTTTAATACCTCAAAAACTCTCTTTGAGAGCTAAGCAGCTATGGGAGGCTCAGGTGCTTCATCGCTGCCGCTGTTATGCTGGCTACAGGTAGTCCTGTAGCCTGCTGAGACATGCAAGAACATTTTCCTGACAAGGTTACTTGATCTGTAAATCACAGAATCATAGAATGGTTTGGGTTGGAAGAGACCTTAAAGGCCGTCTAGTTCCATCCCCCTTGCCATGGACAGGGACATCTTCCACTAGACCACCTTGCTTAGGGTCCTATCCAACCTGGCCTGGAACACTTTCAGGGGCGAGGTATCCACAGCTCCTCTGAGCAACCTGTCAGTGCCTCACCATGCTCACAGAAAACAATTTCTTCCTAATATCTAATCTAAATCTCCTCTCCTTCAGCTTAAGGCCATTCCCCCTTTTCCTGTCATTGCCTGTAAAAGGTCCTTCTTCAGCTCTTGTATGCTCCCTTTATGTACTGGAAGGTGTTATAAGGTCTCTCTGTAGCCTTCTCTTCTCCAGGCTGAACCACCAACTCTCTCTGCCTTCATAGGAGAGGTGCTGCAGCCCTGTGGTCAACTTAGTGGCCTCCTCTGGCCTCCTGCTGGAGCAGGTCCACATCTGCCTTGTGCTGAGGACCCCAGAACTGGACACAAGTGGGATCTCACAAGAGCAGAGGGTGAGAATCCCCTCCCTTGATCTCCATGCCCAGTGATGGAGGCTGGGAAGTACAGCTTCACTACTCAGTTCCCAAAATCTGTGCTGAAGCAATCCCCCTTGCCATGCAGGTGGTCAGCAGCCACTGGAGAGGATGCTTGGCCTCTGTGGTGAGAGCAGCTCAGGAACTGGGACACACCACTGCTGTGAGCACTAGGGATGTCGCTCCGTTCACACTATGGATTAACCAGCCCTAGGGTGCTGCTGTGTCTCTCCTGTATCTCTCTACTGTATCTCTCCTGTGTCTCTCTACTGTAGTGTTTTTCAATAGAATGGATTACAAAATCCTGTCTTCTTGAATTCTACCAAACACATTTTGATATGATGAACATTAAGGCAGTCAAGTTTAACACCAAATACTTTATAAAATTACTAATGAAAAGTATCATTTGCTTACATGAATTTCAAGTTCAGACAGTTAAACTTTAAAGCATAGTAACTGGATTCCTAGTTAAGTTACTTGAATTTTCTTCCTTAAAAAATCCCAGCCATAAAATGCTTACACATTACCTGTTTATATCAAAAGCTTCCAAACTGCTTTGCTGATAAGATGTAATGGGTGATCTTTTAACTTACTGCTCACATTACAAAACATGAGATCAAAGGACCATTGTAAAGTCCTTTTCAAAGATACTAGCCAGTCTCTCTATAAATTGAGGGAGGAGATCTACCGAATTTTACTCGCAAAGGTAAAAGAAAACAACTTTGGAATGGCAACATGGTAGTTTTTACCTTTGTGTATCAAATCAACAAATCAATGAACTAAATGAAGGAGCCAGAAAAACAAGGAGAAGCCAAAAAGAAGACAGAGGAGCCAAAAAAGTAATAGTCAAAGGAATGTTATTCTTTTTGTAAGCAAAAATCCAGGACATATCTATCAAATGTCAAGAAAAATACTGTTACATGGTTAGATGTGGAGAGTATCAGGTGGCTTCAAAGTTTTTGTGCAACTTGAACATACAATTTTCCAGCTATGGTTCAGGAGCTGAGGACCCCAGATATAGCAACATATGTGAGAGAAGATGTCAGTTGCACCAGTGCACTATCATGTTCTAAGTAGATTTTATGTGAGAGAAGATGTCAGTTGCACCACTGCACTATCACGTTCTAAGTAGATTCGTCGAGTACCTTATAGACCTTCATGTAGAGTGTTAATTAAAGTGAATTACATTGCATTGCTGTGTGTTGTTGGTTTTCTGTTACAGAAAGGGACCTGTTAATACCAGCATTATACAGAGCACTCTGAAATGAATAAGGTCTGTGGGTATGCAGAGAATAGTATTGCGTAGTCTGTGAACTTCATCCCTATCATTAAATATTGGCATTGACATCCATGTAATCCTGCAGGGTGAATTGATGCCTGCAGTGTTAATAAGGTGCTTGAGCAGTAATTGTTTCTTAGGATTAGGCTTTTGAAGTATTGTGTTACCCTAAAAACCTCTGTGTAATGTAATGTACACACTGTCCAGGTGGGATGTATAGACTAGTTTAAGCATGAAACTGGATAAGGACATACATTTCCTAAGTCTGTTATGTGTCATAAGGCAGTATTTTGTGTGATCAGGATTTTTAGGACAAAAAAGGCTGAGATGGGAAGTCTATATTCATGAGTATACATATATATAGTAAGATATCTGATTTTGCTCGCTGCTTCATATCTGGAGAAGAGTTTGCATGTGCAAAACATTGGGTGTTTTTTCTAGTTTTAGGATATAGGTCTAATAAAAGATGTGTTTTTCTCTCTGCTATTTTAGTTTATTGTAACTTTTTTTTTTAGCTCTGTAACCTATAACTTAGCTTTTTATTTTGAAAGAATAAACCTATTTTTTCAAGGTCATATAGGTGACAATGAAAGGCATACTGGCCACCTGTACCTCAGAGAGCAGGAAGATATCTGGGGCAGTCCTGAAATTCTTGTCAGTCAACTTTCTGCTTCTGAAAAGACATGTCTTTTTTCCCGGCACTGCAAGACTTGGTAACATCATGGTACATTAAACTGGTAGAAAAGTGCCTTGTGGTGTGCACCTGTGACAACTATCTGCAAGACAAAGGAGGTGGAAATGGCCTCTGAGAAGATGCGTGAGACTCCAGGCAAGGTCCTAGCGGCACCTAATGGCAACTCTGCTATAAATTTTACTGATAGATTAAATAATCATACTATTCATAAAGTCGTACTACGTAATAAAGGGCATAGCACTGCCACCTTTAGTTGTGTATTGGTTTATTTGTCTTTCGGACTTGCATTAGACAACAGAAAGTACACAAACACAGCTGGGAGGACTACAAACTGTTTATTTCCAAGATTTAGTGAGGTGGATGAGCATTCTTCTGTTTAAAGAGATCCTTTCCCAGCGGAATTTGAATGACTAATTGTAATATAGGTGCTATTTCTAGTGGAGGAAAGCCACAGAATTTTGATTTTTTTCTATAATAGCAATTGCAGTAACAAAATCAATTTGCCAATGCTTTTTTTTTACTCTTTACAGTAGCAAAGCTCCCTGTTATATCTTATTTTAAATGCAATTATTCTTGTGAATATTTAGAAGCAGTGATACAAAGGAAAGCATATAGACTTGGATTTTAATGCTCTGTGTTTTATAAACGTTTGTGCTTCCAGTAATTTACAGAGTGGTGCTGTAGGCTTAGAGAGCTCCAAGTGTTCTTCCAAACATTTGCACAAAGTTGAAGATCTGGAGGTAGTGTGCATGTAAAGTTGTTATTGCAAACATAGCAGCATGTTCATCTTGAAGATTAATTTTCCTTAGTGATAATATTTTAAATTGTCTTCTAAAATCCAGTCTGCTTTAAATAAGTGGTTTTGAGTATGTTTCTGAAAACTAAATTTTGCCTCAGCATTTTGTATTTCTGGAACTCTTTTAAATGGAGACTTCCATATGAAAAATAAATCGTATTTCAAGCCAGGTAGCTTACTTTGTTGGTCTTGGTAGCTAATAGAATGAGAACAAAGTAAATTATGTAATCTAACAATGATAATTTCTTTAGGACTAGGCAGCCTAGCAAGAAGTGCATTGGCAATCAGAATTTCTTTTTCCTAGAGCGACTGAGAGCCCGTATGCATCTATCTACATTTGAAAGGGAAAGGTAATGTATTCCTCCAGTCTGCAAGAAAAGTAAAATGTAAAAGCTGTTTTTAATGACGCGTGAGATGAAGTCAGAGCTTTCCGTGGCTGCTGGGAATAAGTTTGTCTTAATGGGAAAAACATAATGATAGAAACCTTCAGAGCTGGTGGGGAGAAAGAGAAGAATAAAGAGATGGCACATCATCTAGGAAGCACTTCACTGGGCATAGGGAGGCCGTTCAGAGCAGCTAGTATGTTTTCAACTGCTTCCTCTGTTATCATGAAGATGGCCTTGTCTGTTCTAATGCCGAGGTGAGGTGTTATAATGACGTTCTTTAATTTTAACAATGGATGATCTCTGGAAAAAAAGAAAATAGAGTAAAGTTACTTACTGTTGTTCGTCCAAATAAAGAGGAGTTCTACTTTGGCTTTGCACTGTGTTTAAAGTTAATTCGATATAACTTTATAAGTCCCACTTAGACCCACAGAACCCAATCACCTGTGTTGAAGGAATTTTGGGCTGTAAAAGCACATTTTAAGAGTTTATACTGTGCTCTTTTATCCAGAAACAGATTTTTGCCATTAGGCAGCAACTTGAACTGTGTCAGAAGAGGGGGTTAAGCCCTCCTGACACATTCCCCTATGCAATGGTCTGAGCTGTAGTTATTTGCAGACAGGCATAACTAGACCAAACTCCCTCCAAAATTCAGCCAGCACAGTTGATTCCAAGAGGCACCATCCTTTGTGGACTGTCTTTTTACAGAAGCTAAGCAGCCTCCAGGCACAAGAGACCTGCAGTACTTCAGCCTTATATTGGGAAAAGAAGCTTGTGGGGAAGGACACCTTGGGGCAATGCAGCAGGTCTCACAAGGGAGAGGTCTCACAAGCTCAAGGAGCTTCCACCCATTCACGGAAAGTTGTACCTTCTAATAAAGCAATTTGCAAGTGAAGCACTGCTGCAGCTTCACTGGATGCTCCCCCTGCCTCCTGCTGTGTCCTGGGCCAGACTTCCCTTTGGCCCCTTACCAGCCCCAACAATTGGGCTGCATTCCATCTGCATTCATGGTACTGTTATGCAAACCCTCACCCCAGGGGGCAGGGAGGGCTGTCTCGGACAGGTTCCTGCCTGCTGCAGGGATGTTCCTGCCTCGGCAGGGCTCACCCATCCTTTCCCAGAATAAGCAGAGATGGCAACCTGGGCAGTGGTTCTGGGTAGGTGACATCCAGCGCTGCAGCCCCGATCACACCACTCTGCAGAGCTGTCACCAGAGCCTCTTGGTCAACTACTGCACCTGGTTTGGAATAAGAGTGTCTCTGAGTGCCACTTGGAGATAATGAGCTGAGAGTGAAAAGAGAACAGAAAGGGAGAGAGGGGAATTTTCACTATGCCTGGTCTGTCCTCGGTGTATGCACCAGCTGTGTTGGTGGATGCAGCATGGTGCTGCATGTAGCACAACAGGAGCTGGTCCATAATTTCAGGCCAGTCAGCGGGTCTGGATGGTACCTCGGCTGATGTTAATGAGAGTAGCTGTGGGTTTCATCAGCTCCAGTTCTCTTTTTCCAATTAGCTTGTGTGTCTGAGGTGTCAGGCTCACCACCACCATCACAAAATCTGCCTGCTGGAGCAAGCTGTCTATCGTTTTGCAGTATGTGGCACCAACAGCTTGCTCCTCTTCTGCTTTCCTGGTGGAAAAGTAAAAAGGATTTCAGGTCATCAGTCATGAAAACATTTTCTTCAATGACGTCACTGATAGACGAACTAAAGGATCTGATCATGACATCTCACAGGATGCAGCAATTGCTCAAACCAGAAGAGTGGTATTCACCAGCACTCATTCATATAAGCTCTGAGCATGCTGGTGGTCCCCATCCTATTGGCACCCTCAGTAAGCCTGTCATTTTTTGATGAATGAAATCAGCAAAGCAGTTATTTAGCAGGCTCCTGGCTGCCCCAGGAATTTCACAGAATAAAGTGTTTAGCAGAAAAATTTACCAAAATAGAGAGATTTTTAGTTTTATTTTCCATGATAAAAAAAATACTTGCCATTTCTCCTATTCTTTGTAAATTTAGCTGCCTGAATTCAGGAACTAAAGAAACAATGGTGGGTGATCGTGTGTACAATCTTCTGTTCCTGATTGCAAGAGAAGAGCTTTGAGTTGTCTCCTCCCTAATCTAGAAATAAATAAATCACACCAAGGAAATAACTTCAGTGTAACTTTGGGCTGTGTGTCTCCTAATACATGCACTTGATTATTTTCTTTCACTGTCCAGGTCAACGACCAGAGTTATATAAGAGGGAAAAGAACAGACTGGAACTGCAGCCAGTTTTGCAGCATGCAGAGTGCATCTCGAATCAGTACATGAGCTTAAAGTGTACTTAAAAATAAGCAAGGTTTTCATTTCTGTTGCACTGTGCATTGGCCCTTATCCCAGCACTCTTACATAAATATTACTTTAAAGACTGAAAAATATTAAACAGAGGGAGTTAGTGATTGCCCACAGAAAAATAAAAGAGAATAAATGTATTTGTGCCTTTTAAAATCTTTTTGTTTGTTTGTTTAAGGAGAAATTCTGAAAGATCTTAGGGAGGGTATTCACTAGTAGTTTTTCTCAATGTGAGTTTTCTCAGCTGTTTTTATAATTTCTGAAGTAACAGGAATACCAAGCAAGGCTAAAAATTTCTGGCCTCATTCACCCTTGTGATTTGCCTAGGACTGGCTCGAGCAGTGGCTGCCATTCAGCAGTCTGCACATGAAGACAATTACTCCAGATGTACTAGCACTGCAGCTTTTCTCTTCGGCAGGGAGGAGTAAAGTTGTCTCGGCATAGGTCATGGTTTATAGCAGTAAATATTTGTTCTGATTGTTTCCTGCACCTTGGCTGATTGCAAGGGACTCAAATTGTATGTGGGGGTCTTGCTCACTTTTACACTGAGCAGCCCCTGTGCTGAATGTCTAACAAGGATCAGATTCCCAGATACACAAGTTAGGAGGGTGAAAGAAATAAAGGGTGAAATCTTGTTAAATACTTGCTAAAATTTAGATTCCCAGATACACAAGTTAGGAGGGGTTAGAAATAAAGGGTGAAATCCTGTTAAATACTTGCTAAAATTCCTACTAGCTTGAAGAGAAACAAGGTGTTCTCAAGAACAGCTTTCAAGTAAATCAGTTTTCATGTTGAGCCAAGTATGTTGAGCCAATATGCATTTCCTAGTTCTCTGGTCACTGGGTTTCAACAAATCCCTCCTGAACTTCAAAATATGGAGTAAAAGGTAGATTTATGTGTTATTATAGTATGACAAGATAAGAATAAAGAAAGTAAGCTTGATTTCCATTTTTCTGTTTACATCTGCAGGAAACCTTGGAATTTCTAATATAAAACCTAAATTAAGTTTGCAAGTGTTTAATCACTAAGTAACTCTTTACAAGACTGATTTGAGGCAATCATTCTTTTTCCTTTTTCTTTTGTTTTAATCTTGGCCTTATTCCCTCATTTCCTGCTATATGTCTGGCATAATTTCTTGAAAAGAGAATGTCAGCTATCTAGAAGAGAGTTTCTGCTGCAATTAGGGTCAAGAAATACCTTTACCTCTGTGTTCTGTTGTGGTACAAAATGTTCATTTCAAATGCCTTGGCTCTCAGAGCAATCTTATACCCAATGCTGCCCATGCCAATGATCCCCAGAGTAGCTCCAGCAACTTTAACTCCCAGAATATCAGCTTCACAGTACTCCATACTTGAAGAAATTGTAATGTGATAGACTGAAAGAAAAACACTCAGATATGAGAAACGGATGGAGCCCAAGACAGAGAAATGAGGTAACTCCCTAATATATCATCTTTCCGTGCTACATGTATATATGACATTCCCATTTATTCTCACCATACTATAAAAAGCCTTTTGATGTAACTCCCCTAAAAAATCCTTTTACTGCTTTAGACTCATGAAAATATTGCCCTGTTCTGCATAAACAATCAAAACAATTATTGCCGGTAACAATGCAGAGTTTGGAAATGTGGAGAATAACACCAGGTATTGGGTTTGCTATTTAGAATAAGAACAGGATTTTTGTTCACATCTGGTACTCTCCTTGGAAAATCATTGTTTGGTAATTTCCATAATTGTTTGTTAAACCTGTGAAATTTTGGAGAGTTCTAAAATGCAGAAAATACAGTTATATACACAGAGACAGCACTTAGTCTGCTAGCAAGGTGACAGGCTTCTGATATTTCAGTCTTGTGATATTGCCAGCTTTTCTAAAACATTAGTAGAGTATTGTGAAAGTATAAAAATGTGATTCAGGAAAAAATTCAGTCATGCCAGGGCAGAGCTATCAGAAATGCCACCAGGGATAGTTTATGTAGAAGGGAACAAGAAATTAATCGCCCTTTTAATTTGTCTCCTCCTTGTGAGATAGAAACAGATTTAGGGGGAGACAAGTCTCCTTTTGCTTTCTATGAATCCTGTGGTACAGGTGGCAAAGCAAATGTAGGTATATTTAATAGGATAAATCTCGAGCATCTGTTCTTGAAGCAAGAAGCATTCTAATGAAGCCACGGGTAGGTCTATGGGAAATAACAAGAAAAAATTGTTGAGGAAACTAGAAAGGATGCTATTAGCAGAAACTGGAGTAGGGTGTCTCATTACTCTCTAATGCCCCTTAAATGCTCCAATTCTGCTCCAATCCATTTCAGCTCCAGAGAATATGTCCATGCCTCTGTCAGCCTTGAGGGTCCCTTCCAGCTCAGGATATTCTATGATTACATACACCCTTGTTCTGCTCCATTGTTGTGTCTCATGGTCTAATTTCTTCTTGCAGCCTGTGACTGCAGCAATGGACTGATCTTTGGCATCCTCCACTTTTGGACATAGCACGGAACACTATCATATTGAGAAACATGCTTTATGTCAGCTAAGTGTCATAGTCATTGAAAATGCACTGCTGTAGAGAATAATGAAATTTAATGTCTTCATATGTAGAAAGCACATTTCAGTGTGTTGTTCACTTGAAACTGTTACACAAAGTCTACAGCCATAGTTATCCTAATAACTAGCTCAGTCCATAAAGTACAAAGTTGTATTTGAATAATTTGTGATCACATTCTGCTCAAATATTTTCAACCCAGGCTGTTGACCTTTGAAAATTAATTAATATGATTTTATTTATACCTGGTTGAAATATGTTATATGTGTTTGAGTATAATGTAATAACTTAAGTATATTTTTTACATATAAAATATATGGAAATATCTATTATTCTATTTGCCAAGCCAACATATTTAGATTTTCACATTTTATGTGAAACTATGTGCACTATAGATAACTCTAAGAAAAGTTAAGTTAATGGTAGGTAAATATTCTATGATTTTTAGAAGCCACAAAAGAATTGAGATGTTACCTTCCACTAGTCTTCTAGCAGATGCTAGCAGCAAGGCCATCCCAGTATCTGCAGTGCTGCTGGAAACAGCACGTGGACAATTAGCCATCTTCACACCAAAGCTAGCTATAAGTTTCTGATCAAGATGATCCATCCCCACTCCTGAATTCGCAATCACTTTCAAGTTTGGCAGGCTCTGGAGGAGTTCTCGGTCAACAACTGGTTTGTGCCACCACAGATACATTGCTTGGACCTTTTTACTCATCTGCTTTTTGTTTTCAAGAAATTCCTTCATGGTGATGAGGGAGAAATGTTTCTTCAGGAATGTCACATGGCTTTGCAGTATCCCATGTGTGCCACCAATGTCATTTACCAACAACCCAGGTAATTCTCCTCCTTCCATGATCTGCACAAAGAAGAAAGATACAAAGTGTCAGAAGAAAGACATATAATTACTTCCAGCCATTTTGAAGAATAATCACTGCCATGTCCTGTTTCATGTCATCTATGACAAGAGATCCTATAAACCACATATTTAGATACGGAGGTAAGAAAACCAAGACAAGGAAGCAGCTCTTTCAAGCTAACTGATTATACACACTCATGCACACACATAGAGGTATTCACATAATCAAGTCCTAGCAAGTTCCGTCCTTCATGGTCTCTAAGACTTCGTTTACTGCCACCATGCTCAAAACACAACAATTCTCATTAATTACCTAGTTTCAGATCATCAATAGCCTGATGCAATAAATCTCTCTTGCTACCCTGAAATCACAAATTACCGTGTCTAAGGAGTTTGAAAAAATGTTGGACCAAATCTAGTGCATGAAAATAAATTACACAGCTTCATCATGAACTTTGAGTTACCAGGTTAATTTTTAATGCTTCATTGCAGAGATTTTTGCAGCTTCCTGTCCTGAAGAGACCCCAGTGACTGCAGTGCCTTCTCCTGAGGCTATCGTAAGTCAACAGAACAGTAGATGTTTAGGCAAGTGTTTTCCAAGAAGGACTTAAGCACTCAAAACTAGTTTGTTTGTGTTTTTTTTCAGAAATCACTGATCATCTGGTTTTGGTTCCCAGAAAGTCTGTGAATTCACAGTTGGGTTGTTTTTGTTTTGTATTGCTTTGGGATTTGTTGTTGTTGTTGTTGAGGTTTTTTGTTGTTGTTGTTGTTTTTGTTTGTGGGGTTTTGGGGTTTTTTTTTGTTTGCTTGTTTGTTTTTGATAGACTATTTATAGCTACCTTTGGTTTTCTGTAGTAATTTTGGGAAGAGCTGTGGGGAGAGTATTCAAGGACTGAAGATCTTGGAAACCCCTGTAGCAATATTTTTCTGTTGCCTTGTTAGTAGTATTTCACTATTTGAGTCTGAATATCTAACTCTTGTGCTGTCTGCAGTTCCTGTACTAAAACGTCCTTTTATCATCTCTCCAAGAAGCCTGACCATGTTTTAAAATAATGGGAAGGCTTCCTTGACTTTATGGAGGTAACAAAACACTTTACTGAATTTTCTTTGTTGCTGCTCATAGGAAAGAGAATGTAAGAAAAAGTTTAATGCTGGTCTTCAAGTTAGGACTGATCACTAATTCTGCTTTAGGTTGTGCCCATGTAATTTCAGTGGTAGATTTACCACTGTTTCATGGCTAGCCAAGATAAGAGCATCGTATTTGTCTGCATGGAGAAACTAAGTTTCATGGCTAGCCAAGATAAGAGCATCATATTTGTCTGCATGGAGAAAATAAATCCCTTGGGATTTACTTTGGCTTTCAAAGGATCACCTCAGGAATATTAGAGATAATTTTCAATGATTGTCTTGGTTTTAATAGGTGAAGCAGACCTCATCTTATATTAGCAAACCTGAGGCCAACAGTAATTTCAAAGGAGTCTGCTTTCTTTGGTGTTCTGATATAAAACTGCAATACTGCAAAGTGTTTCAGGATGCAGTCAAATTTCTGCAAGAATTAATGCTCAATTCACCTTTAATAGATGCTGCTTGGTGTACTTGCTTATCATTACATAGCAATAAGTACTGGAAACAGAACACAGGTATTCACTGAAATAACAGACTGAAGGTATCAAAGCAATGCCTTTTATTAATTTCACTATTTTTCAGAATTGTAAGATAACAGTAAAGATCAGGTCTAATAAGATGACAGTTTTGCAGTATCATAACAAGAGCAATGCATGTACAGGTTGTCTTTTTCAGTCTAAAAGTGGCACTGTAAGAAATAGTGCCTTCCCATGCACATGAGATTTAGTGATGTCATCTGGCACACATCATTTGGGAAACACTACACTTGGAATGGGTTGGCCATTGAGAACAGCCAGAATATTTGCTATTGCTTCTTCTGCCATCATGTGGATAGCTCAGACTGTTGCAGTTCCAATGTGAGGGGTTATGATGATATTTAATTTTAATAAAGGATGATCTCTGTAAGAAATGGAAAGAACAGAATTTATTATACAGGGAATTTACTCTGCAGCTGCCCCATGCTAGTTTTGTAGAAATGAACCTCAGGAAACAGCAGTGGCATGTTGAGACAAGCACAGAGCCCGGGGAAAGCTGTGGGAAGCTTGCTTACCCATTTCTGCTTCCTCTCTAATGCCTTGCCTGTCAGTTAGGCTGGCAAAGAACTGATAAATAGTGGGAATAGTGAGAAAGGCAAATAGTTTGTCATTTACATATGATTGTGCGAG